GCGAGCCGGAGCGGGCTGGGGCGAGCGAGAGCGGGCTGGGGCGAGCCGGAGCGGGCTGGGGCGAGCGAGAGCGGGCTGGGGCGAGCCAGAGCCGGATAGGGCGAGAGGGAGCCGGCTGGGTCGCCTAACCTGACTTTCCTGACTCCGAGTCGCCTTCGGGAAGGGCTGTTGTGCTGTCCGCGAAGTTCTCTGGAAGAATGGACGGAAGCCGCCTCCACGCCTCCCCAAGGAAGAGGAAAGAAAAGGCTTTGCCTCTCGCCACCCAAACGCCTGCCAGCCCCGCCCGGCTCAGACGAGCTGCCGGGCGCTACCCCCTGGAGCGGGGTCTGCGCGTTCCCTTGTCACTGTCGCCTTCGAGCTCCTCTCTGCTCGCAGCTTCCCAGGCAGGTCTCCAGCTCCGCTACCTGCTTCGCGTGCCCAGAACCCCGCACTGGGAGAACATTGATGAGCTGAGCCCTCGCTGCGCAGACCCTCAGAACCGGGCGTTTGCTCCAAGCAGGCCGGGCGGGGATACCGTTTAGAGCATACCGTTTAAACAGAGGAGGGGTAGAAAATGGGTGAGAGTGAATTTTCTTTCCCAGTCACCCCTTTTTTGGGGGGGGGGGGACCTCTTGTTCAGCACTTTTCAACCTACCCTTTTGAAGTCGAACAACCCCTTCACAGGGTTCGCCAGAGACCAACAGAAAACACAGATACTTGCATTACGATTCATAACAGCAGTAAAATTACAGTTATAAAGTAGTAACGAAAATAACTTTATGGCGGGGGACTGCACTAAATGGTCGCAGGGCAGCATTAGGAAGGTTGAGAATCACTGCTCCAGCTTCTTTTGAATTAGAGGGTCCACCAACCACGCTCTCCACAAATGAGTCTGGGAGAAAAGGGAATGAGCGTCTGGTTTTTTTGTTTTGTTTTGTTTTTTGTTTTTTTGGTTTATGGAGACTAGCTTTGGAGCCTGTCCTGGAGCTAGTTCTTGTAGACCAGGCTGGTCTCGAACTCACAGAGATCCACCTGCCTCTGCCTCCTGAGTGCTGGGATTAAAAGCATGCGCCACCACCGCCCAGCGTGTCTGGAATTCTTTATGTTCTTTCTATCTTCTCCTATTTCGACGTCCCTGCAACAAACACAATTGTTTAAAATTAGTATCCAGAACAAAATTACAAAATTGGCAAAGGAGCCCAATTGTGACCCTAAGGATAGTCACAGGGTTTCCATCATGCACACAACAATCTGTTCTGTTCTGTTCTGTTTTCTGTTCTGTTCTGTTTTGAGGCAGGGTTTCTCTGTAGCTTTGTAGTCAGTCCTAGAACTCTCTCTGTAGACCAGGCTGGCTTTTGACTCACAGAGACCCGCGTGCCTCTGCCTCCTGAGTACTGGGATTAAAGGCGTGCGCCACTACCGCCCGGGACACACACAATCTTTACATGTGTTAGACTAAGCACACTCTAAGGTCCCTTTAAATCTGGAGATTGGGAACTGCTTTGTCTGTAGGGTCCATTCTAAAGCTTTAGAACCAAACATTTTCAGTTGCTCGTGTCATAAAAATGTTGCCCTCCCTACCAATACACTTATTTAACTTAAAGTATACAGGTGCAAGCCCGAATGTCTGCACACTCAAAGTCCACCAGCTGTATAATACCTGTGTCCTTGGACACACCCGGTTACTCTTAGTTCCTTCATGGGTAAAAGAAATTACCTCAGAGTCATTAAATAAACCAATATCTGTAACATATCCCAAGCACAAGCTAAGTGCTATGTGAGCACAATGAAAATTATTAAGCATATATATACTATGTATGTGTGCACACGTATATCTATTAGAATTTACCTTATTTTTAAGTATTATCTAAAAGATACCAAATTAACAATTTAAATATTTGGAGTGCTATGTTTTCTTCCGGCAGTCTGTGTATTCTCCCTTCCTGGGATGTGCGTTCCCCAGTTTGAGTCATACCGGCAAATATGGGAACCACTAAGCACCTGTATTAGTTAATTTTAAATTTAAGTTCTGGTTCTTTACTGACACAGTTCTGTTGAATGGCACATAGCAAGCTGAACAAAATGAGAAACCAAAGTCCCCTAAGGGCATTTGGCCCTCCCGTCTCAGCTGGTAACTCTAGTACCTGTTCACATGGTAAGATCTGCCTCTCACCTCCTGTCTCCCCTGTGACTTGAAGATGAAACAGGAACTACTCGATAGACGGCTGGGGGGGGGTGTCACCCGTAAAATGGCACGACCACATCCACACACCTGATGAGCCATTATCCTTTCATCCTCTGCTGGAATCCAAAATATAGAAGGATTCGCTCTGTGGTGGTGCTCAACCATAATCAAAGCACCTGGGAGAGGGAAGCCGGAGACACCCTCAGCAGGGCACATCAGCTCGGGATACAGGAGACCCTATCTCAAAGCAATCGGGGCTGTGGGGAGGGCTCAGTCAGTAGAGAGCTTGATATGCAAGCATCGAGGCTTGAGTTTAAACCCCAGCACCCACAGAAATGTTGGGTGTAAGGGCACACCCCTGGAACCCCAGTGTGGGGAAGGTAGAGACAGGGAGATCCCTGCGGCTCACTGGCTAGCCAGCCTAGCCTACATCTGGGTCCCAGTGAGGGACCTGAGACTGACCCATGTCCCACAGTGCTTAAAACTGAGCGTGTAGGTGCATGGAATCCCAGCACCTGGGAAACGGAGGCAAGAGGATCAGAAGTTCAAGGCCGTCTGCCCTCAGCTACACAGCACATTTGAGACCAGCCAGAGATCCTTGAGAGGCTGTCTCCGATAATAATGTCACAAGACGATAAAATCCATCAGTGGTTGTCGGTTATCAGTGCGGAGGGAGTGGGGAGGGCAAGCACTCTATGACACTACCATGACAATGGAAACATGCTCCTTATATTCCGCTCAACCCCAAGGATGTATGATGTCAAACCCTCTGTCCACGGTCCTGGGTTGGATCCTCAGGTAGATGTAAGTTACTCTATTCCAGCAGATTATACAACCCTGTTTCAGGACAGTTATGGTTGGAGAGATGGGGCGGGTATACACGGAAACTGTGTACTCTTCCCTCAGAATCGCTATAAACCAAACCAAAAACTGCTCTTAAAAAATCGAATCTATTCAAAAAGAAAAAAGGCAAAAAAATATTGCATATGTCTCTTGAAGAAGCTGGGATTTAAGCTTAGAAAACTTAGGAGTGGTTTGAGATGCTTTTGGCAGGCATTTCAGAGCATTTCGTGGAAGAGTCAGTTATTGCGTATCTAAGGCGACTGCTCTTTTTACCATCTGTCAAAATCTCACCTTAGACTTTTTAAAACAGTGTTTAAATTTGAATAGAGATCCTTATTCATATACCTAAATTACAGTTTCTTTTGAAACAAGCTAACTTCACTATATCCCTAAGGATGGTCTTGGACAGTGTAAGCAATGATCCTCTTCCTTAGAGAGGATCTAAGGAAGCCAGCTGCCGTCAATCCCCAGCCTCCACATGGCTGAACATGGAGACATGTTCTCACATGTACACGTGCACACACACACACACACACACAACAGAGTAAACATGGATAGCATCTAAGGAAGCCAGCTGACATCAATCCCCAGCCTCCACATGGCTGAACACGGAGACATGTTCTCACATGTGCACGTGCACACACACACACACACACACACACA